TGGTTACATAACTGAATTTTACTTCCAATATATCTAAATAATCCATAATCTCCCCACATCACAAAACAGTTAAAGTGAGGAGACTCAACTTACAGCCCTTAGTGTTTTGTTCCTCCATTCAAGTCTCATTTCCTCCGAAGAATTTTCTCTAAAGAAAAAACTCATCAATATCAACTATCCTCTTGTTTCTGTGTTTCACTTAATATCGAGCAAAGAGAATGAGCTATGGCTTCCCAAGAACCAGCTATAACTCCCAAATCTCAGCATAGGAACTTTAGAGGCAAAAGACTTAATAAGCCCAAGTCTGAGTTTCAGTATTCATGAATAAGCCCTCCAGTTCCATTCCAAAGCCATTCAACAATAGGCAGGGACAGGCGTTAGATGGTGACTACAGGAATCCGGGCAAGAGAGGAAGGAATGAACCAGGCCACGTGGAGCAGGGGAGAGGAAGCGGGAACTGATGTTCCATATTAGGGACAACCAGGCGGCCGTGCTGATTCATTAGATGCGGAGACTGGTGGGGAGGAGGAACCGGCGTGGCGCCCAGGCTTCCAGGTGGAGTGAGTGGGTGGATGGTGAGATCAGACACTGGAGATGCCAGGAGGCAGGTCCACCTTGGGGGGAAAGGAAGGGGTCTAGTTCCGGTTGTGTTAGTTTGAGCTGCCCGTGAGCATCCAGGTGGTTATTGTCAGTGGTTGAAGAGTTAACTCACATGAGTGAGGTCCAAATACTAAGCTCTTCTTGGGGCAAAGTGTTGGGCTTGGCCATTTCCACTGTATGCATTTCGAAAAGGAGAAACATGTTCTTAGCTAAAGCATAGAGAGACTTATGTTAATACGAGCGGTCTCCCAGGTGGGGTGGGGAGACTTCAGGGAATGATTAGGTGTTTTCCCTTTCAGGGATCTTGGCATTCCCGTGAACACTCCCAATGCACCGACCCTAAGGAGCCCACCCAGCGCCTGCAGGAAGGTCCCAGTCTCGTGCTGTGGACCCACTGAGCCTCGGATGTGGAGACCCGGTGCGGAGAAGCAGCCCCGTTTCTTCATTTCACCCTTTCCACAATTAGAGAAATAATTCAGATAACAGGAAGTATTTCTTGTGGTTTAACCATGTAATAAAGCAACCAGAGGGAAGAGATGGGACTGAGTATTTTTCAAACAAGATAAACCTCAGAATGTGGAGAAATGGGCTTGAAAAGGGACTGGAGTTATAATGATAACATTTTCAAGTTGCACAGGGACAGCCGTGAAGACCAGGATTCGAATTCTGCCATGTCAAGCATCCTACACGCATGTAGGGATAAACAGGGCATCCTGACGGTGCTAGGGCTGAGGTCCTAGAAGTCAGGCCTCTCCTTTTTTTCTGCAGGATGGAGTCCTGACCCAGCTGGCCCACCTGAGTGCTTCCCAGAACATTCAGTGGCTCCCTGGGGAGACAATTTCTGACTCCAGTTTGCCACCTACTGTGCTAGATGATTCTGCTGTGGTTAAGCCATGAATTGAAAGTGCTTTGGCACCTCTGTTCCTGTGCAGACAGTCTTCAGTTTTCTTTTCAGAAATAAAGAAAACCAAGTTCATGGTGACGTCAGGAACCCTCATTCCAATGGGAGCCTTGGGAGAGCTCCATGGGCGTCAGGAGACCCGTGCTGGAGCTGCAGCGCGGGGCGCAGCTGGAGCAACGCAGGCCCCCGAGTCAGGCCACCTCGCCACGCTGTCGCCTGGGGCTGTGATTCCCAACCAGGGGGTAATATTTGCACTGCGTTTATTTTTACACAGGAAGGTTTGTTTTACAAAAGGCCTTGCTGAATCACTAGTACTACATTTGCTGCATGCCAGGAAGTTATGTAAGTACGTGGTCCTTTGCCAGAACTGGCTTCAAAATTTATGCTAGTGAAGTTAAAACACCACATGTATGTTTTAAAAATGTTTAATTGCTAATTCGAGTAAACACGAATTTTAATTAAAATACTGGCTTGAATGTGAAGTGAGAGTCTTGCTCACTCACAGCAGAGAAAAATCAATCTAAATGTAAGGTTTAATATTTGACTACCTGAAAGAGCAGTTGCCAAGAGCACGCCTGGCCACTGCATCCAATCTCTGGCTCACAGTGTGGCGTGTTTGCTGGGTGGCACGCTTGACACAGCCAGAAACATATAATCCTCTCAATTCAGTTGTTGAATCAGCCAAGAATGTTTGCATAGTGCTCACTGAGTACTGGATGTTCTAGGAGGTTCTGTGTTTCACAGGAACTTGGAACACAATCCTTATCTTCTGAAAGATCTCTTCACATTTTACATGTGAAATGGGTGGGGCCCTTGAGGAAGGCATCAGCGCTGCTCTGTGGCCGAGTGGTGCCCGCCAGTGCCCACAGCAGGGGGCAGAACCGCTGGAACCCCAGGCTGGTTGCCTGCGCAGCAGGAATTTTCATGGTCCCTGGTGGAGGGAATCCAGCTCCGTCAGGGAATGAGGAACAAAAAGATGGGTGAATACATACGTGTGAAGAAGATAAATACTATAAACTAGTTTATGAGGCCTTGGTTGGTTATCGATTTCATAGAAATATGAACAATTTTAGGTTTAAAGAAGAGTGAGAGACAAGAAATAAATCTCTGGAGGAAGTAACTTTTGAAGAGGTTGGCACTGTGGTGCTGGCTGAGAGGGCACTCCTGGGAAAGCCGTCTCTGAATAGTGTCTTCCTTCCTCTAAGCCCAAATCATTCCATACCAATCCTGGTAATGATTACAGCCCATTCTTTCCTGGACAGGCCTATGAGGAGCTGATTATTGAGATAAATAAATGTATAAAACTGGAATTAACATTTTTCAGCTTCATGAAGCTGAACAATATTGTTAACATTTAGAGACAAATGCCAGCATGTGGGCCTTGTCATAGTTTGGTCACTTTTTCCCAAATTACCGGCCTTTGGGCATGTTGTTCCCTCACCTGAGAGAATTTTGTCCCTTTCTTCAAAGGGCCTGCTCCAGCTCATCCTTCCACGTGAGCTTAAATTTGCCTTCTTAGGGAGGCCATCGAGACCCCTTGCAGAAAGTTGAAAATTCCCTTTCCTCCCACGTCTGCCCAGCACAGCACAATGGCCAGTGCCTTATTAGCCACTTCAGTGCGACACTCACCAGCGGTGACACCTGGCCCACACCGGCACTCACAGCCCCCACAGTGGCTTGTGCTGTGCATTGACGACGAATCCGTTTTGCTCTTGTGTGATGAGGAAAGCTTGAAGGCACTGAAAGCTTGCTTTACTTTACAGGCAGCTTTCCTTGTCATGTCAATCAGACTAGGTAACATAGACATATGTTTTCATTACGTTATTTTTAAATGTTCACAATTTTATTCTGATAATTGAAAAATTAGAAAAGTCATATCACAGCTGTCAGCTAAAGTCGCCGTGCACGTTCATCTGTGGCTGTTGACTATAGTCGACGCTGGTACTGCAGTGGTTAAGCATTTATCAAAAATGTATGCAATATGTTTATATCTTTATTTAATTTCTTGTTAAATGTGTCTCCTATCTGCTCTGTAGGGCGGAGAACACATCTGATTTGTTTCATCTCTGTGCAACAAGTACCTAGCTCAGCGCTTGAGACATAGTTGAAGTGAAAAAAAAAAAGCCTAATGAATGACTATGCTGCAAACATGATTTAAGTAATTAAAAGTCTAGATTTTTCTTTGAATGAGAAGCTGGATATTTCCTTTAACGTTCCTCTAGCTATTTCCTGCACATTTATTTATCCTTGGACTTATATTCAAGAACTCAGTTTGATGATGTTTTGCAGCTTCATTGACTAGAAATGAGAAATTTGCAAAAATGGCCAATCTTCTGAACACTTCCTAGAACCAGGGTTTTCTTATGACACAAAAAGGTATTCATATGGGTATGTGCACACCTAATGGGGGCGGTGTGCACCGTCTGGGGGATGGACACACTTCAAGCCCTGACTTAGGTGGGGCAAAGGCAATGTACATAACCTAAACATTTGTACCCTCGTAATATGCTGAAATAAAAAAAATTAAAAGAAAAAAAGCTATTCATAGACAGGTTTCCCAGGCAGGATGGAAGAGGATCTTCCTATTGACTATTTAGCCATCACAAGCTCAGAAGGGAAGAAAGAATCTACAAAATTTCATAACACATGTTAAATATATAAAATGTTACATATGCAACATATTTGTAAAAATATAATCTGTAAGAAGTTCTAGGCATAAAATGGATTTTATTTTAAAATCTGTGATCTTAGAATATAAATGTGTTTATTCCTTCTCGGATTTATCTCTTTCGACATACCTATATTTGTATATAACTCTTGATATCCTTACTTACATGTTATTCAAAACATGAGGCAAGAGACATAGAAGAATTAATTCATTTTACATATTTTCCTTGATAAAATACTTTTTTTTAATTTGCAGTTTGTCTTCATTAATTGGATCCTGTGGTACTCACTATAGACATTGCTAATAGATGAGAGAAATGTCTACAAATGAGTCCTAGGTGCAGATTTTATACATATATAATATACACACACATATGTATGTGTATGAATATATATATTAATTCTTATAAACTGATTACAAAATGGTCTAAGAACTGCCATAACTAAACCTAGTTCATGATGAAGATAATTCACAAGGGAATTCTTTATACTTTTCAGCTATTTCAGCTGAATTTTCTTTTAAAAAGTGGGAGTACTAAGCCTAGATTGATGAACTTGTAAAAAGAAAAGAGAACTTATATCCTTTAGGTTCAAGCCACTTTGCATTGGGATATACTCATCATGTAAAAGTGGCTCATAATTACTTGGACATTTTGCAATCTACCCAGGCGGGACTGTCCAGTCTACACCAAGTTCTTACATTGAAATCTCTGATTTCTGGCTCCACCACCCAACCTCTTATTTTTCTCATGAAGTATTTTATATGTTTTTTAAGTACTTCAACGCTTTATCCATAATCAAGAAAAGATCAAAATAAAACTACTCTTTTCAAAAAATATATCACCATGAAACGTTTTGCAAAGTGTTTAGTTTTATTAAGAATTTTAACAGGTTATAGAGACATATAGATATGCCAGCGCAGTGGTACCAAACTGAAAGCACTTTTTATTAAATGGAGTCATTGCTAAATACTAAATAGAGACTTAGGGACTTGTAATTCTACTTTATCAAACTGAACATTAGGGTAAATATTACAATGTGATTCTAGCTGCACTTTTATATTTAAGTAGTATGACGAAAAAGGCATATTCTCTGAAATATCAATCTTTTCTGACAAATAGCCTCATGCACCCTAATAATGTACTTCTTCAATTTCATCATGTTATATAATGATGATTCTAGTAGTTAATCATTGAAAAAAATGGCCTTCCCTTAAATATCCCTATTTCTTTCTTAATCTAATCAAGCAATGTATGATGCAATAAGCTGATTTCAAAACCTAATCCAAGTTAATTTATAACAAATGTTTTTTAAAAATCACATTCCAATAAAAAGTAGTTACAAAGCATTAAATGAATATATTTAGGGAATACAATTACCGTATCTTTATATGCTGTATCAGTTTTAACTAGTAGGAGCTAAAGACATTTCTATTCCAACATAAAAATCTAAGTACACGTGTTTTCAAATATATAATTATAGCCTTGTAAAATGTAAATTAAGCTTTAAAATATTGCTGTTAAGCTCCCTGCTAATTCCCAGGTGTCCATAAGACTCTAAATGTTTAGAAAGGTGCATAAGCATTTATAAAGCTTCTATATTTTCAGCAAATATTCCACTTCTGCTTGTGTTTGCGAGGCGGCTGATTGATCTCAGGAGGAAACTGCAGAAAAGGGGCTCCGGGTGACCAGCCACAACACGGCCCCTGCCACTGAGCATCCCTCAGAACGTCAGCACAGTACGAATGCTGAAATGAGAAAGGAGAAGTTTTCATTTGTTTTCCTATCTTTCAAACAAGAATAATTTAAACAATTGCCCTTCATATCTGTCACAGAAACTTTGGTAAATTCTCTGAATGGAAATCCTTTGGGCTTGACATCCTGACCAATTAATTTTCTTTTTTTCTTGTTTTTTATTTCAGCATATTATGAGGGTACAAATGTTTAGGGTACATATATTGCCTTTGCCCTACTCGAGTCAGGGCTTGAAGTGTGCCCATCCCCCAGATGGTGTGCACTGCACCCTTTAGGTGTGAATACACCCATCCCTTCCTCTCCCTCCCACCTGCCCGACACCCAATGCATGTCACTATGCTATGTGCTCATAAGTGTTGACAGTTAATACCAATTTGCTGGTGAGCACATGTGGTGCTTGTTTTACCATGCTTGTGATACTTCACTTAGTAGAATGGGCTCCAGCTCTATCCAGGAAAATACAAGAGGTGCTAGATCACCATTGTTTCTTAGAGCTGAGTAGAACTCCACGGCACACATACACCACATTGTATTAATCCACTCTGGATTGATGGGCACCTGGGCTGTTTCCACATCTTGGCGGCTGTGACCTGCGCCGCCGTGCTTTGTCTATCTCTGAGAAGGGCGTCTGCGCCGCCCTGGCAGTGGCAGCATAGCGCCAACAGGCCAGCAGGAGCAGAAGGTGCTCAGGGGGAGCATGAATAAGCGCAGGAAGGGGTGCACAGGAGGGCGAAGGGGACCCGGTGTGCTTGCAATCCTCCATGCCCGAGAGACCCCATAAGGTATGAGCCCTGCTCTCCTGGCTCCGTCCCCGGAGCCCAGTGCGGAGGTGACAGGGTAGGAGCTAAATGCTTAGTTATTGGATCACCAGATGCATTAATACGTGAAGGCAGGTTGGGTTCAGCGACACAACTCAACATCATTAAAATGTCTATACCACCCAAACTGATCTACAGATTCAATGCAATACCTATTAAAATCCCATCAGCATTCTTCACAGATATAGAAAAAATAATTTTATGCTTCGTATGGAATCAGAGAAACCCCGAATATCAAAAGCAATTCTAGGCAACAAAAACAAAATGGGAGGCATCAATATGCCAGATATCAAACTACTACAAAGCTGTAGTAATTAAATCAATCTGGTATTGACACAAAAATAGGAGTATTGACCAGTGGAACAGATGTGAGAATCCTGATATAAAACCATCCTCATATAGCCATCTAATCTTTGACAAAGCAGACAAAAACATACGCTGGGGAAAGAATCCCTTTTCAATAAATGGTGCTGGGAAAACTGGATAGCCACCTGTAGAAGGCTAAAACAGGACCCACACCTTTCACCTCTCACAAAAATCAACTCACGCTGGATAACAGACTTAAACCTAAGGTATGAAACTATTAGAACTCTGGAGGAAAAAGTTGGAAACACTCTCCTGGACATCGGCCTGGGCAAAGAGTTTATGAAGTTCCCAAAGGCAATCACAGCAGCAACAAATAATAAATGGGACATGATCAACCTACAAGCTTCTGCACAGCCAAAGAATAGTCATGAAAGTAAACAGACACTACAGAATGGGAGAAAAATTTTGCATCCTACGCATCTGATAAGGGGCTGATAACTAGAATCTACTTAGAATTTACGAAAATCAGCAAGAAAAAATCAAATAACCCTATTGAAAAGTGGGCAAAGGACTTGAACAGAAACTTTTCTAAAGAAGACAGAAGAATGGCCAACAAACATATGAAAAATGCTCAACATTCCTAATCATCAGGGAAATGCAAATCAAAACCACAATGAGATGTCACTTAACACCAGTGAGAATGGCCTTTATCAAAAAGTCCCCAAACAATAAATGCTGGTGTGGATGCGGAGAGAGGGGAACACTCTCACACTGCTGGTGGGACTGCAAACTAGTTCAACCTGTGTGGAAAGCAATATGGAGATACCTTAAAGCGATACAAGTGGATCTACCATTTGATCCAGCAATCCCATTACTGGGCATCTACCCAAAAGACCCAATGACAGTCTACAAAAAAGATACCTGCACCCGAATGTTTATGGCAGCACAATTCATAATTGCAAGGCTGTGGAAACAGCCCAAGTGTCCATCAATCCAAGAATGGATTAATAAAATGTGGTATATGTATACCATGGAGTACTATTCAGCTCTAAGAAACAACGGTGATATAGCACATCTTATATTTTCCTGGTTAGAGCTGGAGCCCATACTATTTAAGTGAAGTATCCCAAAAATGGAAAAACAAACACCACATATACTCACCAGCAAACTGGTATTAACTGAGCAGCACCTAAGTGGACACATAGGAACTACAGTAATAGGGTATTGAGCAGGTGGGAGTGGGGAGAGTGGTGGGTATATACATACATAATCAGTGAGATGTGCACCATCTGGGGGATGGTCACGCTGGAAACTCAGACTTGTGGGGGGAGGGGGGAAAGGGCATTTTTGAAACCTTAAAATTTGTACCCCCATAATATGCCTAAATAAAAAAAAATGTTATAGCATTATAAAAACATATGATCAAATTAAAATAACCAAGATGAAATAAATCTGATGTGAAAAAACACACCCCAACGAGTTTTTGACAATTGGTTATGAAGGCCATGAAGAAGTAGTCAGCTATATAGAACTGGCTAGATGAAATCAAACAAAGCATGAAGAAAATGGACACATTTGTGAGTCCTAAATTTTAAAAGTAACTTGTAGAGAATAAGCAAGATTTCCATTAAAAAAATACCTTTGCCCTGAATAGAGCAGTTCGAATCCTTTGTTGATGTCTTTAAAAGGTAACACGTGGGTTATCAACTGGTCCAGGTCAAATTTCTTTGCCAGAAAATCAGTCACGAGTTTTGGGACATCATCTCTGCTTTTCCAACCTGCAAATAAGCACACGTTTTCTCCTTAGACGTCACTAAGTAAGGCTCACATTTTATTATCCCTTATTTGTCTGTTTCTCTCCTGCGTTGTTACCTTTTCCCATTTTGGATTATTCCCAGCAGTGTACAAATAAACTGTATTTCTCCCATCTTAGGAAACAATGACCCAAGGAAAAAAGAAAACCCTCTCTTGATCCTCCTAAACCACTTCTTTTTCCAGTGGCCTCATATCTCTGCTCCTGTTGCAGAGATACTTCTTTAGAGAAAGAATTGTCTCCCACTCACTGTTTCTGCTCCCGGTTCCTCTCCTCTCACTCTTCTCTCGAGCCCACTCTGATGAGGACCTTGCCCCAGCCTCTCTGCTGCACGGGTCTTGTCCAGGTCTTCCCCATCATCAATTTGGACACAGTTCTCACTCTGGTCCTCCATGAACTACTGGGAGGACGTGACACAGTTGGCGGTTCCCTTTTCCCCAGTCTGTTCACGTGGCTTCTAGACCATCGTTGTTGTCCTGCTCCCTTTCTAGTCCCTCCTTCCAGATATCCTTGTTGGGTTCTCCACAGACCTCCAGCTCGGACGTGCCGTGGGGCTTGGTCCTTGGACCTTTTCTCCTCTTTCCTACATTTACTTCCAGAGTGATCTCTGGCCTCGAGGTTTAGCACACTTAGGTTTCTATCTCCATCCTAGACCTGTGTGTGAACTACACCCTCACCTATCCATCGCCTACCTGACGTGTCTGCTCAGATGGCTGGCAGGCAGACGAGCATGACCTGTCCCAACCACTCCAGATTTCCACCACCTCTGCCCCAGCCTGTTCCTCCCACATTCTTCTGGCTCAGAAGTGATGACGGCTCTATCGTCCCTGTTGCTTGGGGCCCATAATCTTGGATTCCAGTCTTCTTGTCATCCAATGACTGTTTCAGCCTATTCTGTTGGCTCTGTCCTCAGAATACATGCAGGAAGTGACCGCTTCTCACTGGCACCATTGCTTCTCCAAGCCACCACCCCCTCCTTCCTGCTCTACAGATAGGAACTTCTTCGATGGTCAGCCTGCCTGTGCCCTTTGCCCCCATGTAGAATGTTCTGCACAGAACAGCCAGAGGGGGGTGTTAAAATGGAAGTGAGATCAGTCCCACCTCCCTCAAAATCCTCTGAGGCTTCTTCCTTACTCATTATAAAATCCTCCCACCCTACAGTGGCCCAAAGGCCCCAGTGATCTTGCCCTCTGACCCCACCTGCTGCTGTTCCTCTGTCCTCTCTCTGCCCTGACCACGCTGGCCTTCTCGCTGTCCTCACTCGCCAACACCCCCTTGCATTTACCAAGCCCTCACCTGGAATATTCTTTCCCAAGGCTTCTGAGTAGCTCCTTTCCCTTATGTTTTACTCAAATGTCACCTTCTCAGGCCTTCCTGAAGGTTATAAAATGGCATCCCCTCCACCCTCCCTGGCCCCCCAGACTACCTGCTGCCCTTCCTCTGTTTCTCTCCTTTGCACCCATGACCACATGGGGCATTCTGCGAGGACTGCTTTACTGTCAGCCTCTCTGCTCTGAAATGAGAGGACGCTCCTACTTCCTGAGAGCAGGGACTGGTAGGTTTGGCCCCTGCCACATTCCCAATTCCCAGAATGATGACTGGTCCTTAGCATACACTCAACGAATATTTGTTGAATAACAGTCATTCTTTTCTTCATTATACTCTCAAGAAATACTTAAATGCTTTCCATTTTCTTATGTTTTACAAGGCAGACTCAATACCGGAAGTGCCTCTGAAGTGCCCAGTACAATTCTAGGTGAAGGTGCTAGAAAACGAGACCCACAGAGGAGAGGAACAAAAGGATTCCCTGTGTCACCTGCCTCGGGGAGAGTGACTTTGGCTCTGTCCTGACTGAGGCAGTGGTGGTCAGTGAGCAGTAATCCCAGTCATTCGAATCTGAACTGTTCCTATTAAATGCGACAATCCCTTTTTGTTTGTTTATTTTGGTTTTGGATCCAGACTTTTTGCTGATGCTATTGGGAAATGAATGAATTCTATTTTTCATTTGCATTCTTGTGTACATTAAGAATAACGGATGAAATCAGAACTTCCTGTCACACAGATCATCCCAGTGGAACACACTGCTGGTGCCTCTTATTCAGGCATTTGGGGACCTTGAGCTGCAGATGCTACTATTAAAATTGTGCCCACCAGTACTGGTCCTAGATCGAGGTGAGGAGTAGATAATTATCTTCTGCATTATTGTGGTTGCAGTTCCATTTTAGATCACTTCTTACACATCCCTAGAAAAGAAGACCTTTAAGGGGAAGGCGATGAGGCCACAGGCTTCTCTCACTTGCCACGCGACAGAGCGAAACCCACCACCCCAGGCCAGAGGCCCTGCTGTCCTCACCTCCAAAGACACACCCCTTCCACGTGCGCCCTGTGAACAGCAGCATCGGGTCGTAGGTGAGCATCTTGGCTGACGGGGGAGCGCCCACCACCACACTGGTCCCGTAGTTCATGTGGCAGGACGCCAGCGCATCCACCTGGGTTTGACACGAAGGAGAAAGTTTGGTTCACACGGGCTCGAAATGGCCCGTGTGCCATAGCAGTTCCTGAAGTCAGCTCAGCTTCCGAGTCATGCAAATAAACGAGGCCGCCTTTTGGCTTTCTTGCTTTAACAGATCCTCAGTGCAACATCAGTTCCTAACTAAACTCCTACACACATTTTCCCTTTAAGGGAGAAAACAATAATTAATGTGGTCAGTATCTGTGGCGTGTTCACTGTACCATGCAATAAAACACAGAGAAATCTGGTGATGTTTTCATACCGATAACACCAGTCCAGGTAAGCCTTAGGAAGTCATTTGAACCAACCTCAACTGAATTACGTATACCAAATAAATTAACATAGTGGTTTTCCAAAAACGTTTAGTTTGAAAATTAAAGAACATACTAAAATGTGGGATAAAGGAGTTTATTTTCTTGGCAGTATTTCTGAAACTAACTCTACATTTTCTATTTATTAATAATTTTTTGAATACTTGGTAGATCGTATTAACAGATGTTGACATTTTTCAGAGATCAATGTTCATCCAAGTATTACCTGGTAATCAATAGTCCCTAGTTAATATAACCAGTATTGCACATGGCTCCATAAACATACAACCTAGAATGCTATTCACGGCTATGGAATAATTCCTACTGACTCACTAGGAAAGGGATATGGCAATGATAGTAAATTAACAACTACCTATTCCTAAATTACCAAGAGCATTAAAGTGAAGTTAATCTGCTACTCAATCTTGAGCAAAATCGGCTTTGTTCCATTTTTCCAGGTCTCCCGCCCTACCCCAGCCCAGGGCATTCTAATTCTAGGATGTCTGCACTGGTTTCACAGCTCTACCGGGGTCTGGTGGTGCTGGCTGCCACCAAGAGGGCGTGTTGAGAAAGTTGAAGGCCCATATTCTAAGGGAATTCAGAGGAGCGAAAAGAAAGATCAGGTGTAGAGTAAGAAGTTGGATCTATCAAGGATTTGGAGAAGAGACTGCAACATTGGCAATAATCCCTTTTCTTTGGAATCTCTCCCTTATCTCTCCTTAGGGAGTCCCCTTGTGATGCTTTGTTTGCTAAAGTTCAAGAGATGGAACTCAAGGATTACCTGTCCCAAGAAATCCACATATACAAGGAGCATATTTTTAAAAAATGTACCTGGAAGAGTGAGTACCTTGTCCTCTAGTCATCTGAGAGTGGTATGATGTGACACTTAACTTTGGTCAGGAGGACCTGCTCTTAAGCTTTTGAATTTTTAGGCAAAATTGCTATGTGATTACCAGTTTTGGCCTGAGAAACAGGTATGTTCACAGTTGGTTGTTAGTAAGGCTACGGAAATGGATTTTACCTCGTGCGTATCTGACAGCTTGTGCACGTTGTGGCTCCCCGAATCCTGGCCCTTACCATGGTTTCAAGACGCCCAATAACTTCAAAGCTGTAGTTCACAGTGTTGCCTGTCATTTCCGACAGCACCTCGCCGATGGGCTTGGTGCAGTCCTTGGGGCTGAGGCACTCCGTGGCCCCCACGGCCATGGCCTTCTCAAATTTGTCTTTGTTGAGGTCAATGCCAATGATCCTGGAGGCACCAGCCGACTTGCAGCCCATGATGACCGACAGGCCGACTCCTCCCAGGCCGAAGACAACACAAGTAGAACCAGGTGTGACCTGTGTAGAGAAATGTTCCCGTAAATGTAGGCAGTAGGGTCAAAAAGTGAAACCTGCGAAGTGCTTCTTGCACTATGAGCACTGAATTCGAGGGCCGCCGTGATGTCAGCTAGGACTGGTTGATTCATTCCGATGATGATGCACAAAGACAGCTAGAAACAGTGCAAGGCCTGGGAAGAGAAAAGGAGTACTTGCCAAAGCAAAATGGTATTTGCTAGATAGAAGAAAACCCTTCACTCAGGCCTTTGTGGTGGGACTGTTGCCACCTTCTTGGCCATGACCCACAACCTCGTCCAGCCTCACAGCAGAACTAAGTCAGTGCTAAGATCTCGGTCATCTCTACTCCACAAACATATGCTAACTCTGTTTTAACTTTGGTCTGACCAACATTTTCTAAATAAACATAACTCTCGGTCATTTGTAAATAAATTCATTTTCCATGAAAGCCCAACTTCCATGCGACAATTAGATGGTCCATGCGTAGCTTCGGGGAGGAAAGGTAATTAAATCAACTTGGGGGGTTTTACCCTGAACCATTCTGTATGAAAGAGTATTCTAGCCAAAAGTTATTGTCCTGTCAGAAGAACCCAAATCCACTTTTACATGTAGTAGCTGGGAGAGCTGAACAGAGGGAAACCCACGGGGGGCGGGGGGGGGGTGTCTTCCTTATTGTGACAGTTTCTTTCTTTTTTAGTGCAGAGGCTGGTGGTGATGAGCAAGGCCTGTTTTCTGGCTCTGTCTTCCCTTGTGGGAATTACCTAAGGTCTGTGTGTGCGTACGTAAGTGTGTGTGTGTTTTTTTTTTTTTTTAACTTTTTTTTTTATTTTTATTTTTTTATTTTTTATTTTTATTTATTTATTTATTTTTTTTGAGACAGAGTCTCGCTTTGTTGCCCGGGCTAGAGTGAGTGCCGTGGCGTCAGCCTAGCTCACAGCAACCTCAAACTCCTGGGCTCGAGCGATCCTTCTGCCTCAGCCTCCCGAGTAGCTGGGACTACAGGCATGCGCCACCATGCCCGGCTAATTTTTTTTTTATATATATATATATCAGTTGGCCAATTAATTTCTTTCTATTTATAGTAGAGACGGGGTCTCGCTCAGGCTGGTTTTGAACTCCTGACCTTGAGCAATCCGCCCGCCTCGGCCTCCCAAGAGCTAGGATTACAGGCGTGAGCCACCGCGCCCGGCCTAAGTGTGTGTTTTGATATGTCTGCACCTTTAAGTGGAGATTTTCAGACACCTGCAGAGATTTTTGCACCCACTTGCCATGAGTTTTCATTTCCGCAATGGCATCCTGATCCCTCGGTTCAGTCCCCGCGTTTGCAGCTTTGCAGTCTGTGCAGCCTTTCTCTGTCTGAAGTGCACGCAGTCACTCACGCCTGCATCTGACAGGCTTTCCTGACGGGCTCCTTGACGCTCAGCATCTTACGGCAGAAACTCACCTGCCTTCTCTCCTGCTTTATCTGCTGGTTTTGTTGTCTAGATTTGAGGTGGAATTTTTTTGTCGGTGGTTGAGCTTCAGGTTTTAGATGTAGTTACGAAAGCTTATGGTCCTGGATCTGTCTTCTCAACACTCTTTATTGTATCGCTAGAAAGCCTATGGTGAGCCTGAAGAATGATCGTTCTAACTAAGGAACTGTACCAGGACAGACGTCTCCCTAAGTCTTAGTTGCCTGTTTGTAAAGTGACAGTTTTTGAGCCTCCTGTCACTCCACCTCTGAGCCTTACCTAGATAATGGCACCAGTTTCTGTTATCTTCAGATGTGCTTGCCACCCCAGAAAAAATTTCCCTCCTTTCCCTATATTCCTGTTCTAAGGCATGGGAACTAGAAATTAATATGTATAGTGAGTTGGCCACATCATTATCATTATTTGGAAGAAAACCATAATATGAAATAAAAGTGTCAATTATATAATTTTATATATAATAATATAATAATTATATAATATATTATATATAATTATTTTAAACATTTTAAAATATAGTAAGATTCTACTTTATGCTATTATTTTATTTCATTGCTGTGATCCCTTAGTATTCCTTAATAAAAATCTATATTTCACATAGGCAAACACAGAAATGTATGTTCTTTCAAACATGTATGTTCATTCATGTATGTTCATGATTTGTCTTAAGTCATGGCTTCCAGAAAAAAGTATGTCTAAAACTGGCACATACCTGGTAAGTAGTCTGTGGACCAAGTATTAATACGGTGCCAACACATCAAGTACACCAAAAAAATGACAAAGAATAATGTCCAACTAGATTGTATGTCCCCTCCTTTTTCTTCCACCTCTATATCGGCAGAAAATTCTTCATGGAAAAGCTCAAGGAGACTCTGGGAAGGAATGTTCTATGTCTGAGATTTTGTCAAGGAAATTTAGAAGCAAGTGGTAATTGACATATTCTCCTTGTTTGTTTGATGTCATAAGGGTTATCAAAAAATTTAGTTGAAATATTCACTCCTTAAAACTCATTCACTTAGCCAGTTGCAGTGGTGCACACCTCTCATCCCAGCTACTTGGGAGGCTGAGGCAGGAGGATCACTTGGGTCCAGGAGTTTGAGGTTGCTGTGAGCTATGATGACACCACTGCACTCTAGCCTGGGAGCCAGAGCGAGGTCCTGCCTCAAAAACAAAAACAAAAACTCCTTCATGTTTCTATATTATATATCAGCTGTTATGAATTGAATTGTGTCCCCTCCAAAACTCATACGTTGAAGTTGCAACCCCCAGTATCCCAGTATCTCACTGTATTTGGAGGTAGGGCAGTTGCAGAGGTAGCCAAGTTAAAATGAGGACATTAGAGTGGCCCCTCATCTGATATGACTGGGGTCCCAACGAAAGGGGACATTTGCACACAAGGACACACATAAGGGAAGGCGATGGGAGGAGACACAGGGAAAAGACAGGCATCTAGACCGAGGACAGAGGTTTGACAGACCCTCCCTCACAGCTCTCAGGAGGAACCAAGCCTGCTGACGCCTCGACTTTGAACTTTTGGTCTCCAGAACCGTGAGACGATAAATATCTGTCCTTTAACCTGCTCAGCCTGTGCTGCTTCACTGTAGCAGCTGTAGCAAACGAATACACAAACATTGATATTTATTCTGTGAAAGAAAAAAGATTGAAATCAGATGCAAATCTAAATTTTAAAAATTAAACATGAAGGATACCCGGAGGAGATAAAACATCTAGATAAATCTAAATAAAAATCTACAATTTTATTTCCACTTACTTCCAAATACAATTTCTAACCTGCACTTTTCTTTTTTCCTTCCAGCTGGTTTGGCATTGTGTAGAAATAAAATGAATATGAGATAGGTTTTTGACACTTTTTTTTTTTTTTTCCCCAAAAATGTTCAGGATTCCAAGACAATCGGTTTTTAAAAATGTAGGGAAGGGAGAAACTCACTTGCCCTGTTTCTTACCTTGGCGGTTTTAACGGCAGCCCCGTACCCCGTGGAAAACCCGCAGCCGATCAAGCAGACCTTCTCGGGAGGGGCTGCGGCCTCGATCTTGGCCACGGAGGACTCGTCCAGCACCGTGTACTCGGTGAACGTGCTGGTGTTCATGAAGTGGTGCACCGGCCTGCCCCTGCACGTGAACCTGGTCGTGCCATCGGCCAGCACCCCACGGCCAGTCACACTGTTGGAGAGGGCAAATGTGCATGTCAGTTGATTCAATCCAAAAGTCGGCACAGGAACAGTGCGAATGACACGAGAGGAAAAGCGACTGAAACCTACTCGCTCCTGATGCAGAGGTTGCCGTCCGGGTTGCGGCAGGCGTTGCACTCTCTGCACTGCGGCAGGAAGAGGGGGATGACCTTGTCGCCTGGGGGAACACAAGGTGACACGCGGTGCGGGGCATCAATGGTAAAGGATGAAATAAACAAATGTGAGTCGAGCCCAGGCTATATGCACCAATGTCTTTAAAGTACTCCAAGGTTTACAGACACCAGAAGGTTTGCTTGCTGAAGGTTGAGATTTTGCCAAATTAAACATCACTCAGTATGCTCCATTCTCCTGTTATCCTTTTGTCTCCCTGAATTGTGCTAAGGCTCACTGCAATAATTCCTAGCATGTGCTAGTTCCTTTCACAGAGGAATCAAAGCCTGCTTATTTCAGACTTGTGACTTGTCGTATACCTGGTTTCACCGTGGTGACTCCTTCTCCAATGCTCTCCACAACCCCAGTTGCTTCATGGCCCACAATGACGGGAAACTTAGACACCATTGCTCCTTTGATCACGTGGTCATCTGTGCGACAGATTCCTGTGGCCAAAATCTGTGTTCAAAGACAAAAACGTTGCACCAACCAGAAATCTGGTCATTTTACAGTTGGCAGAATCTTCACCTTGTTCTATAAGAAATTATGGTTGTGTATTCACTAGGATTGCCAAATGCAAAAGCGGTGACTCTAAGAAGATTCTGAGCCTAAAATCAACCACCAGACAAGATCCTTCTCTTCAAGAAACTTGCGATGTCGCCGTCTCTCGCCCTACGTTGCATCTTGGTGCCTTTCTGTAGTCAACTGGTGCTCACCTGGGGGAAGCAGGATGTGGATGTTCTCATGCGATTGCCCCAAAGTAGGTTTTTGTAGCTCGGCCTTGCTAGGACTCTCTTAACGAAAGGTAGAGGCAATGGTGTGCGGGAAGGTAATTGACGAGCAAGGTCTTGCCACAGTGTTCAAGCAAGAGGAGAGGGTCAAAGAAAGATGGGCAGCAATGCCCACTCAACAACTGGGATCCAAAGTACAGGTCAGTCTCTGTTCAGAGGACTGGGGTAAACACTCCAGGAAGTTGTAGTTCCTCCAGACACAAATGAATTCCTCATTCTTTGTGACAAGTAATCTCAGTACAGTCTGACTCGCAGAAGATTTTAAAGGAAGTCGGTAGTCATGATTATTAACCGTTTTTTAAATCAGACATTACATCAATAAGAATGCAACAAATGAAAGCGCTAATAGAGCAGATCAGCACTGTTGGTTTTTTAATGGATAATGAACTCATTAATTTCACATCCAGCATGACCAGATAGTTGAGAATATGCAAGAACCAGTGAGAGAGTAAATATCCCAAACTTTGGAAACATCTCCTTACGTAAGAATTCAGCCTTGCAACAGTGATATGCTCAGTACAGGTGGGATAACATTTTAGGCTCATGTACTCCAAGGCTCTTTCTTACCTTAATGCGAACTTCTTTAGCCTTTGGTGGGGCAACTTCTATTTCCTCAATGGAGAAGGGTTTATTCTGTTCCCATAGCACAGCTGCTTTGCATTTAATAACCTAAGAAAATGGCAAGTGTTATAATGGATCCTAATCATGTCTTTATATACAGACTCCTCATATGATGTTAATGTGGGCAGAAGAGTGTATATAATGTTCTAATTTTCCCAGGATGGTTTTCATCAAACACTAGAATTGTGGGCCTTATAGATCATCTTGTGTATCCCTTTGATGGATGAGGAATGCAGCCCAGAGGAGCCTAATGATTTCTCATGGTCACACAGCACACGGGATGCAGGGCTGGACTAGAGTTGAGGTGCACTTCTCCCAGACCACTGATTTCACATAATATTCCAATAAACAAGCACAAGATTCTTGTGCTACAATTTCAAATGCAATAGACTAACAGAACTCTCATCTGTGTATCATTTATTTACAGAGGACCAATTCGTAAAACTGAAAATGCTGCTGGTTCGTGTTTGTCAGAATGTAAGCCAGTATTTAATAGCTGGATGTAGTCACGTGGCAATGGTGAAGGAATGAGACAATTGGCTTGGTAAGAGAAGAAGGGGACCGTGAATGTCATGGACTATCACTGTAGCTCCTGGGTGACAGTGTCTTTGCATCTTTTTTGCAGCTAGCCCAGTCTTTGCACTGGGTAGGTCTTGATAGCAGGGCAGGTTAAAACCTCTCATCTCATAGAAATGAAAATTAGGCGTGGAGTGACTGGCCTCCAGTCCCTCAACTGGTTTTGCTAGAGTTAATTCGGTAAATGGTATTGCTGAGATTATTGAATTCTGACATACACACAGAGAGAAACTCTTTCCACTTTCTTACTCCCAAATCTGTCTATAACTACTATAAAACATTTTAGTTAATTTGTTTAGATACAAAATGAGATATCCTTCATCTTATCAACTAATGCAATATTCCTAGAGATTCCTTTAGGTGGTTAAATGACTTTTGCAAAGAGATTAAATGTGAGAAATGATATGTTGGAAACAGATGGGTGGCTGAAAGCCAACCAGGAACTCAACTTAATATTCACTTAATATTCCTTTCTAAGGAAAATGATATGGATCACAGTGTGATTTTATCCAGCGTGGAAGTTAGAAACTCACACCACATTCTGTAAACAAATTCCAGGCAGACTTACAGTTAAGGTTTACTTTAAAAATCAAACTGTTTTATCAATCAGTGAAAATGTAAATATCATCAAAGGGGCATGGAGGAATTCTAAGCTTAGTAGGACTGCAACAAGTCATAAAGGAAGCAGCTGCTAAGAACGAAAATTTTGTGTGTTGAGAAACAGCAAGTAAATTTTCCAAATGGAAATCAAGTACTCCCCAGGGAAAAATAGTTACAGCAATAATGATAAAAGTTACCCTGTTTGATACGCACATGCTTGACCAAATTTATAAGGAAAGCTCTAAGATTTCCATCCCTACCACTCCTGCCCCTCCCCCACACAGCCTGGGAGACCCACACGCGGGACACAAGCAGGAAAGTAGCCGGTTAATGAACAGGCTGTGAAGTATTTGTTCTCCACAGTCACAAAAAGTCTTTTTTACAAAAATAAATAAATAAATGAAGATAACAAGATACAATTCTCTGCCTCTTAAGTCAATAATGACTTTCTACTTAAAAAGAATACATAGCATTGTAAGAGGGGTGGGTAAATTGGGCCATCTCGTTCACACCAACCTCTTTGGAAAGTAATTTGTAAGACACATCAAGACATAAGCATGTTGTGACATTTTGACCCTATAATTCTATTTTAAAAAAATCTACCTTGAGAAAATGCTAACCTAAAAACATATATATATATATATATATATATATATTTTAGAGGTAATCACAGCACTATTTATAAAAGAAAATATGTAAATAATAATAGACAAGTGATGGAATAAATTGTGATAAATATAGAAATTAGAATTAGACATTAAAAATGTTTATAAGTTGTTTGTAATGAATTGAGAAAGTGCTTAAGTTGGACAACAGGATCAAATAGATATCGTGTGAGGACAGCTACATAAAAGATGGATGGAGAAACGCATAGAGGAAAATACAAGCAAAAAATGCAATCAATGATAGGTTGGGGATGTAAGATCATTGTTAAATTTTTCCCTCATATTTTCTGACTTTCCAAGTGTTCTAGAATAGTCTTTGTTGTGGGCTAAATTGTGTCCCCAATATGTTGAAGCCCTAACCCCTAGCACTTCACAAGGTGGCAATTTGAAGATAAGGTCTTTCCAGAGGTAATTAATTTAAAATTAGCTCATTATGGTGGAACTTAATCCGACATGGCGGGTGTCTCCATAAGAAGAGATAAGGACGCAGACGCACAGAAAGGCAAGGACGCGTGGAGACGCAGGGAAAAGGGGGCCATGTGCATGCCAGGGAGAGGCCTCAGAAGAAACCAACCCTGCTGACGGCTTGATCTCAGCATTGGAGCCTCCAGGCCTAGGAGAACATAAATCTCTCTTAAGCCACCTAGTCTCTGGTGCTTCGTAATGGCAGCCCGACCAAACTAATACAATCATCATTTACTTTTTCAATGAAAAAGGAAAGATGTATTATACGGAGAAAAAGAATGTAGTCCCCAACGTAAAGGGAGCCCATCCGTTCATGAGCCACCCTGAAGCACTGGAGCCACTTGGGGGGCACGCAGCCTCATGTAGCCACGCTGCCATCTCTAGAGCAAAATCATCGATTATAATTGAAAAGTGCTTCCTTGAGGCAACTGAGTTCTTCACCCTTGGAGGTGTTCTGCCTGTGGCTGGGTATCCGTTTTATAGAGACAGCATGACCAGACCCGGAGCATCTGTTGGTCGAATGAAACTGCACATTTTTCAGATTCCTTCCAACCCGAAGATTCATTAATGACCATGGGTGGAGTTGCCAGTTTCCAGAGTGCAAAATAAATTCTCCCAAGTAATCTGGTTTTGCCCAACTTCTGATTCAAACTAGCTTTTACTCTGGTCTTATTCAATTCTAGCAAAAATTATTTCAGATTCTAAGGCCTCCTGAATCATCGCATTACCTAGACTTCAAATGTCATCTTTATTTTCCCAAAACCTTAAAGTAGGCTAAATGCAAAGTTGTTTAAATAAGAACAACAACAACAAAAACAAACAAACAAAAGCACCTAACATTTTAAGCAATTGTGTATCCATGTAAAATGAGGAACTATACTGGCTTACTTGCAAATGAAAAAAAATGTGAAAGTTATTTCTACAGTTAATATCAACTTTGCCATTATTTTTTTAGAATAACATATTTTATCTACAATATAGTCTCGTTTTTAAAAATATGTTTAAACTTACTTTTCTTTTTTTAGACAGAGTCTCACTCTGTTGCCCAGGCTAGAGTGCCGTGGCGTCAGCCTCGCTCACAGCAACCTCAGACTCCTGGGCTCAAGCGATCCTCCTGCCTCAGCCTCCCGAGTAGCTGGGACTACAGGCATGCGCCACCATGCCCGGCTAATTTTTTCTATATATTTTTAGTTGGCCAATTAATTTCTTTCTATGTTTTTTAGTAGAGATGGGATCTCGCTCTTGCTCAGGCTGGTTTAGAACTCCTGACCTTGAGCGATCCTCCCACCTCGGCCTCCCAGAGTGCTAGGATTACAGGCGTGAGCCACCTCGCCCGGCCTAAGCTTGCATTTTGATAGACACTCTATCCTTAAGAAATTTTAAAAGCATGATATTTTCTTGTCCACTTTGCAGTCCAGAATTAGCATTTTTCATTGTCGACAGAAGGAAACGTTTTGCCAACAGCTGGGCACACGACCCTGGTGTTCCCATTGATCTATGGAAGTGAATGCAGCACACGCCCCTGAGACGACTACAGTCTCCGCACGGGAACATTCTGCTTACCAGAGCACATGGCCAGCTCTCCTGAGTGTGAGTTATTCATAATGCCACTGGAAAGCACACTTCCCTATTTTCCTCCCACGTCTCAGGCTGTTTTCAACTTGATCCTGCCTGTACTGGTCTTCCCTGAAATGCTCCACACAGTGTTTCCCGCTAAACAGCCATGTCATTCCTCAGGAACTGTCCTCAGTATGTAATTATTTTATGGACCCAAAGTTCTAAGACTCAACCCCACATTATTAGACCGGGACAATGACGCGACAGAAACGCTTGGCTTACTTTTCCAGCAGTGCCCATCTTTGTCTTTCTCTTGGTTCTGTATTTCTGCAGCCAGGGGCCTTTTCCGACTGCTCCTCAGTTCATTTTGCTGTAAATAACTGATGTAACAAGCATTGTGTGCCTTCACATAAATAGTCTGCCTCAAAGTCCTGCCTTCAGCAGCGTGACTCACAGCCTGCCAAACTTTTCAATGGTCCACAAACCCCACCCTTGGCAGACAAAGCTGCGAAAAGGAATACAGAACTATTATGAGCAAACCAAAAGATACAGAACTATTATGATCAAACCAAACCCATGTATGTTAGGGATCTAACATACATGGGATATTCAAACCTACTGAAAAGAGCTGAAAGTATTCTCATCCTCTTTATTTTGGAGGCTATAAAAACAGGTTAGGTTAATTCAGTTCAGTATAATTCATAAAAAAATGCATTGTATGTTTCTTAAGTGCAAGTTGCTATTCTAGGGCAGCTGATTTTAGAGAGGTGTGTGTACTTTTGTACTTATCCTCTATTTATTCTACAGAGACTTGATGTAGTTCACGGAAAACATAACAATTAAATATAAATGACAAAAGGGCCAAAGAAATGTAAAAAAAAGAAAATTGGAATAGAAAGTCAAGGTTTGGCAAGAAGAGTTGAGAGTATATAAAACATAAATACAGATGTCTGTGGTTTCTAGGTATTTTGAGGATAAAGGGTCAAGCAAAACTTGTTGTGCTGCACATAGAGAAATTATCATCTGACCCCAAATCACATTATCCACAGAGTTGTCTCATACAGTTGTATAGTTTGTACACTGCACAAATGTACCCAGTGCAGGGGCTGAAGGGGAATTGCAATGCAGCTTGCATATTGGCTCTCAAATTCCAGAGGGTTTTCATTTGCTTGGGTAAGTGCTCAGCTCTTCGGCAATAGCTGTTTAACCATTACAGATCATAATATTTTAATATAATGATACCAGAGTCTTGGGCTTGTAAGTAAGCACCATTGCTTTAGCAGTAAATGCTGAAGAAACCCAGCATATTTTGTTGGCATTATCAGACAAAGGTAAGCAGGTGTGGACAAGGACAGTCATTCTGAGTCTCAATTTCTAGGCCAAAGAAACCAAACTTTATCTTAGCAACAATAAACAAAAACTTATTTACTTATGAACAAAGGCAAATGAGTACCACATGGGTAGTGCCAACACAAATGCCAAAATACTCAATTGATAATCTCTTCCTCAAGGGCTTGGCAAAACTTTATAGCATATTAATCTAAGAAACAAAATTTATGAAAGATGTATACCAAGTGAGGTTTAATATTTGCATAAGTCTTAATGGTTCCAATCCATTCTCCACAAGAACTGATTAGATGATAAAATTCAAAAGCTGAAACTTGGAAGGTAAACAAAATTGAGCTAAAAAAGTCATGGTCATGTTGGATATATAGCAGGTAAGTCACAAATTTAGGTTTAGAGAATTTACCAGAGGAATCTTTGCATAGGAATGTTTGCATAGGGTTTACAAGAAAGATTATGAAATTCTGGGGCCACAATTCTTGGTGTACTCAGTCTCCTAATTACTTTGGCCCTCCATAGTTGCCAAGAGCCTTTAATACTTACCTCAAAGTTCCCATGCATCTCTAACTTGCTCAGATCAGGATACAGTGGAACTTAGAAGAACTTGAGAAGTGTGCTACAGAAATCTGGACTTGGGACCCAGATTCACTTGGTTCAGGGCCTGGAGGCTTGCTTGAATATGTATGACCTCAGCTTCCACATTCATAAAATGGGACTAATAAAAACCACATTGCATGGATGTCCTGAGGATTAGTGGTGAGAGTGATAAAGCACTTAGTACACTGCATGGTTCACAATCAGTAGCAAATGTCATTACTATTAACTTGACTCCAATTGGTTGCTGGATTATTATTATTATGGATTGGTTGCTTGAATTTTTAAAATATTTAAGACGTAACCACTTGAAACAAAATGTTCTAAAGTCCAGGCTCAGTATAAACTGTCTTACAAAAGACAAAACTATAAAAAGAAGGTCATTATATAATGATAAAGAGGTTAGTTCAGCAAGGGGTATAACAATTCTAAATATACATGCATGCAACACTGGAGCACCCGCATATATTAAACAAATATTGTCAGAGCTAAAGAGAGAGATCCCAATACAATAATCATTAGAGATCTCAATACTCCACTTTCAGTATTGGGCAGTTCATACAGACAGAAAATCAACAAAGAAACATTGGACTTAACCTGCGCTATAGACCAAATGGACCTAATAGATATTTACAGAATGTTTCACCCAATAGCTGCAGAATACGTGTTCTTCTCTTCAGATCATGAATCATTTTTAAGAATAGGCCACAAAACGAGTCTTAAAAAATTCCAAAAAATTGAAGTCATACAAGGTATTTTCTCTGATCACAATGGAATAAAACTAGAAATAAATAACAAGAGGAAACAATCGAAAATACACAAACATATGGAAATTAAACAATATCCTCCTGAATGACCACTGAGTCAATGAAGGAATTAAGAAGGAAATTTAAAAATTTCTCAAAAAAAAATGAAAATGAAAACACAACATATTAAAACCTATGAGATATAGAAAAGGCACTAAAAAGAGGAAAGTTTGTAGCAATAAATGCCTACATCAAAAAAGTAGAAAAGCTTCAAATAAACAACCTAATGACACATCTCATAGAACTAGAAAAACAAGCGCAAACCAAACCTAAAAGTAGTAGAAGAAAAGAAATAATAAAAATTATAGCAGAAATACATGAAACTGAAACAAAAAAATACAAAAGATCAACAAAACAAAAAGTTGGTTTTTGAAAACATAAACAAAATTGACACACCTTTAGTTAGACTAAGAAAAAAAGAGAGAAGACCCAAATAAACAAAATCAGAGATGAAAAAGGAGACATTACAACCAATACTGCAGGAATGTAAAGGATCCTTAGGGACTACTATGAGAAACTATATGACAATAAGTGGAAAACCTAGAAAAAAATGGATAAATTACTAGACACATACAACCTACCAAGATTGAACCAGAAAGAAAGTTAAACCCTGAATAAACCAATAAAAAATAATGAAGTAGAAGCAATAATAAAGTCTCCCATCAAAGAAAAGCCCAGGACCCATTGGCTTCACTGCTGAATTCTACCAAGCATTCAAAGAAGAATTAATACCAATCCAACTTAAACTATTCCAAAAAATCGAGGAAGAAGGAATACTCCCAAACTCATTCTCCAAGGCCTGTATCACCTTGATACCAAAGCCAGACAAAGACACAACAACAACAACAAAACTATAGGCCAATATCTCTGGTGAACATGGATGCAAAAATCCTCAACAAAATGCTAACAAGATGAATTCAACAACATATTAAACAAATTATTGTTTATGATGAAGTGGGATTCATCCCAGAGATGCAAGGGTGGTTCAACATATGCAAATCAATAAATGCGATTCATCACATCAACAGAACAAAGGACAAAAACCTTTCATTTCAATTGATGCTGAAAAAGCATTTGCTAAAATTCAACATCCCTTCATAATAAAAACTCCCCAAAAACTGTGCATAAAGGAACTTACCTTAATATTATAAAAGCTATATATGACAGACCCACAGCCAATATCATACTGAATGGGGAAAAACTGTAAGCCTTTCCTCTAAGATCTGGAACAAGAGAAAGATGCCCACTTTCACCACTGTTGTTCAACATAGCATTGGAAGTTCTAGATAGAGCAAACAAACCAGAGAAAGAAATAAAGGGCATCCAAATTGGAAAAGAAGTCAAATTATCCTTGTTTGCAGATAATATAATATTATACCTAGAGAAACCTAAAGATTCCACACACACAAAAAAACTATTAGAACTAATAAACAAATTTGGCAAATTTACAGGATACAAAATCAATATACAAAAATCAATAGCATTTCCATATGCCAACACTAAATGATCTGAAAAAGAAACCAAGGATGTAATACCATTTACAATAGCTACAAATAAAATAAAACACCTAGGAATAAACTTAACTAAAACATTAAAACATCGCTACAATGAAAATTATGAAACATTTATGAAAGAAGTTGAAGAGGACACACAAAAAATGAAAAGTTATTCTATGTTCATGGATTGGAAGAGTCACTATTGTTAAAATGCCCATATTGCTTAAAACAATCTACAGATTCAGTGTAATCCCTATCAAAATATGAATGACATTCTTCACAGAAATAGAAAAAAAAATCCTAAAATGTATATGGAACCACAAAAGACTCCAAATGGTCAAAACCATCCTCAGCAGAAAGAACAAAACTGGAGGAATCACATTACCTGACTTCAAAGTATACAATAGGGCTATAGTAACTAAAACAGCATGATATTGGCATAAAAACAGATACATAGACCAATGAAATAGAATAGAGAATACAGAAATAAGTCTATCCATTTATAGTGAACTTAATCTTTGACAAAGAAGCCAAGAATGTACAGCAGGGAAAGGACAGTCTCTTCAGTAAATGGTGCTGGGAAAACTGGATATCCATATGTAGAAAATGAAACTAGGCCCTTATCTCTAGCCATATACAAAAATCAAATAAAAATGGATTAAAGACTTAAATCTAAGACCTGAAACTATGAAGCTACTAAAAGAAAACATTGGGGAAATGCTTCAGGAAATTAATCTGGGCAAGGACTTTTTCAGTAATATCCCAAAGCAAAATTGGACAAATAGGATCACATCAAGCTAAAAAGCTTCTGCACAGCAAAGGAAACAATCAACAAAGAGAAGAGATAACACACAGAATGAGAGAAAATATTTGCAAATTACCCATCTGACAAGGGGCTAATCACTAGAGTATATAGGAGCTCTAACAGTTCAATAGGAGAAAATCAAATACTCTGATTAAAAAGTGGGCAAAGGATCAGAATAGACATTTCTCAAAAGATGACGCACAAATGGCTAACCAGTATATGAGAAAATGCTCAACATCATTTGTCATTAGGGAAATGCAAACCAAAACC